GGGTCACGGGTCAGCATAATCACCAATCCCGATTCGATTTAAAATCCGGGTCGGGTCGATCACCCGGGTCTGACCCGACCCTTTCGGAGCACTAGATGGACATGGTGAGATGCAAAATATTTTCTTCGATAATGATTTAAATGGTAAGCCTCAGTTTAACAGACAAGAAATAATTTTTTTTTATACACGTCTTTCAGATTCACTTTATAATAAACATGAAATTATATTTATCAAGATAATCTACTTGAAGAAATTTAAGATTAGGTAACTATAAACCTTCTTATAATAATTTCTCTTTTTATCAATTCCATCCAACTTCAAAAATTTTCTATGAATACATTTAATAAATCTCAATTCTTGAAAATTTTGAAAATATTTTAATAAAATAAAACATAAATACCATCATAATCAAAATGTAAAGAATTAAAAATCAGAGTTTTCAATGAATAATGTTGAGTTTTCTTTAAAGATTTTAAAATTTCACTCATACCTTCTTGATGAGTATCAGATAATTCAAAATAAATTAAATTACGCTAAGATCTAATTAGAGAAGCAACTTGCTTTTCTTCTTCTAATGTCGCATTATAATGTTTATTAAATTCATATCCACATTTAGCAGAAGAATAAAATTGAACTCTTATGATCTTTTTTGAATATTATGACAAGTTTATGAAAGCAAAGATAATACTTTATATTTACTTTCTTCAACAGTGAATGCAAATTCTGTTAAATTGGCAAAACATTGCATTGCTTAGTTTCAGAAAAATTTAATTCATTAAATTTCCAGTGTACTATATAACTGAAATGTTAAAAGATTTATATGGTCAATTAATAAGCTATTTATTTAAAATTAGAAAAACATCAGCTAATTTATTGCATGATTTTTTCAGAATGTATAGTAACTATCGATATTGAATTTTATTTATGAATCAAGCTTATATAAAGATTCTTCTGTTTTAATATTTCATACCTTTATCTGTAATTCCATAAAAGCTAACAATATTTTTATGAAAATTGATTTCACAATAAAGCTTAAGCTAGATTATAAATGTAAATAAATTGATAATATACCAATATATATCTCATTCCATTTTATAATTACTTCATGAATGATTTCTTTTATATTAGAATTGCCAGGTAAAAGGATTTTAATACCAGAATTTTTCCAATTTATACAATAAATTTTTCTGAAATGAATTTTTCAATATTACAAAAATGTTTATGTTTATAATATTTTATATTATTTTTTGAAATAGTTTTTTTGATCCAATTATTTGGATTTTTAAATTGCATTTCATTTCTATCAAACTTGGAATATTGTAAGAAAAAGGTAAATACTAGGAAAAAAAAATTTTTTAACATTAAATATTTATACATGGCTACAAATTTTTCGCCCATTTGATTTAGTTAATCGCGTCCAAATATTAAGTAAATTAAAATACTACAAATATTTTTTTTTCAAAAAAAAAAAAATAACTTATGTAGTTATTATAAGTTAAAAGAATCTTTGCTGTGTTTAAATAGTAAATACAGAAAAAAAAGATGAAAAAAATACAAAGAATTAATATCAAATTTTTTTTAACGAACTGACTTTAATGAATTTTTAATTTAGAAGCTTTTATTTTTTATTGTAAAATACTAATGTATATTAAATATTTTAAAATAATTCTCTCATTAAGATTTTTAAATCAATAAATAAAAATAATACTTATATTAAACCGCAAGAGTTAAGCTTATTCTTGGATTACCACGTTCTTGTAGAATTAACCGCTGATAAAATAGCCATACAAAGTAAAAAAAGTTAATTACTATTTTAGGCTTTGTTTTATCTTCACTTTTATTTTTGTTATTATATAAATGAATGACATAAATTAAATTTTAAATCTTTAATTTTTAACTTTTATTTTTATTCTATAGTATTGTTTATTCGTTTATTATTTTTAAAAAACACAATCAGTTTTAAATGTTTCAACAAAAAAAATCAATATTAAATCAGATGTTTAATAATTTCTGACATTTGGAGTTGAATCTATTACTAATTTTACAAGAATTATTTAAATAATTTAAATTACATATATTACTTGTTATCTCTAAGTTTTTTTAACTGATTTTGAGCATTTTGATGTCCTTGTTTAGCGGATTGTTCATACCAATAAATTGCTTGATTTATATCTTTTTTGATTCCATCTCCTTCTTCATATATAACACCAAGATTATATTGAGCTATTTCTTGTCCTAAATTTGCGGCTTTTTTATATAATTCAACTGCTTTTTGCATATCACCACTGGTTCCAATTCCGATATCATAACAATATCCTAACATCATTATTCCACGTGAATATTCCCCTTCAGCCGATTTTTTAAATAATTCAAAAGCTTTTTGATGATCTTTATCAACACCATTTCCATTTAAAAATAAATATCCAAAATTATACATAGCAATTAAATGTCCATTATTTGCAGCTTTTTCATACCAATAAGCAGCTGTTTTTAAATCTTTTTCGATACCTATTCCAATAAAATAACACACACCTACATTATATTGTCCTAATGCACAATTTTTATTAGCTATCTTTTCATAATATTCAAAAGCTAATTTTTTATTTTCTGTAATTCCATGTCCCAAATAATAACAATCTCCAACAAAAAGTTGTGCTAATATATGATCTTGTTCTGATGCGCTAATAAATAAAGTAAATGCATTTTCATCATTTCTAATTGTTCCAATCCCATAATAATTAAAATATCCAAATAAACAAATGGAATCTGAATTATTTTGATTATTTAATAGCCAATTATAAATTTCTTGTAAATTTATATTATGATTATTAAAATAATCAAGAACATGCTGTTTTACTACTTTCCATTCTATTCCTTTATTATGCTTCTTAAACATGAGATCAACTATTTCATTAACCATTATACTTAAATCTATCCCAGATGAAGTATTTTCATTAATTTGTTCATTCGTTAGTACTGTATTACTATTATATTCTATTTCATTTGTATTCATATTATGAAAATTTTGAATCATTCGGGATAATTCTCCGGATAATGAATTTTCAATCTTATCTGAAGTTAGATTTTCATTTTGAATATGATCAGTTATATCATTTTGTTGTTCAATTGCTACACTATTTGAATGTGGAACAAATATTCTTAATTTTTTAACAACTTCATGCATAGACGGTCGATTAGTTGGTTCACCATTCCAACATTCTAATAATTAAAATATGTATATGATTAAATAAACTTTTAATAAATAAATAATA